GTCAACTGGTTGTTATGGCCCAAAGGCCCTCCCAGGGCCTTTGCTCTGCACGTCATTGCTTTGCACTTATCCATAAAGCACACCCAGAGCCATAAAGCATAGCCCCACCAGCTAACTTCTGATTGGTTCCTTGCCACGAGGCAGGCATCTGACCTCCTAGGGACCAAGGCAAGGTAAGGCAAGCATGTGCTAGGCTGTTATGGCTGCCAAAATGGAGCTGGTCCCTTCAGTGTCAGTGGGCATTTACCAAACAGTTTAATTAATAAAGCATATTACAGGCACTTTATATTCTGTTCCTTTTATTTAAGTTTTATCCCATTTCACCCTTTTGCCCCCACGTTTTTATGGGTTATAAAAGTGTTCATACATAAGCATTTAGCTGAGGATTCAATTGGTGTCCTTATACAATTGTTACTTTATTTCCTAGGCATTGGTCAAATCACACCGTGTGAATCTACAGATATCCTAGGAAGGCAGAATCAAGTGAATAATTTTACAGAAAATTTTGTGATCACAGCAAATTAGAGGACTTTGATACTTAAGTCCACTGAAACAGCTGATGCAGAGGGCATTCTTTCTAACGATAGCCACTGACAATTGGCCTGGATGGCTTGCTTCCTCCATCCCTTCCCCAGAATGTGCAAACACTTTATTTTAGGTGAGCAGAGAAAAAGTCATCTACGGTTCCCGTTGTGTGACTTGGTTACACAAATTTGCCTTTCTTATTTGGCATGGGTACTCTGCTCACCAACTGTGGCTTTAAAGGAAATTGCTTCCTTACTCTGAAAAGTGGTAAAATTCTGAAATCAAACAGGTAGAAGTTTTATCATTGCTTCATATGTAATGCAGGGGGTAGTAAGCTCAAGATAAATAGAAGCCCATAGTAATCACACTGTCTCTGGCATCTACACTGATGCAGCCACCCTTCTTCCTTATTACATATGTTATTGCTAATCCTTGCAACAATACTATGCGTAAGTCATTCCAACACCCATTTGAAGCAAGAGCTCATAAGCAGAATGTTAATACAGTGTCCAGTTCTGTAAGTTGTACTAATGGCCTTGACAAGAAAGACAGTTATAGTTGCTTTTAAAAGGTGTTACTTTTAAGACAGGGCCTCACCATGCCCATACTGGTCTCAAACTCATTGGCTTAAGCAATTCCTCCTCTCAGCTTCCTGATTGCAGAGACAACCAGGCACACCACCATGTCCAGTTTGTAGTTGTTTTTGTGACTAGTCATTTTAACTGAATCAATTTAAGCCTATGAAGAAGAGACAAGTTTGGGGGCATACAGCATTCAAAGTCAGATTTATCTCACCAGGAACCATGTCATAGATATATATATATATATATATATATATATATATATATATATACATGTTCCATTCTTAGTGGATAATAGTTCTGAATTATACTTTAAAGCCATTTCTGTTTCATTTTCTCAGAAAACATGGTACTCTGTTTCCTAAAGGCTCATTTTATCATTGTACATGGGTTTGCATAAACTTCCTACCTAGTCATCTCAGTGGTTGTTTGGCTGATCTTCCACTATTGCTCTAGGTGTTTCTTAAATGATAAAATAAAAATCCTAGTTTTGTATCATAGCTTCTTCTGTAAGTCATATTTCTCTAGTATAATAAGTATGTAGATTATTTTGTTGCCTTTTACAAGCCTGCACTTTTCTAATGATGATAATCTTAAACTCTTAACTAGTGATTTATACAGTTCCACATCTAGCAATTCAACTCACACATAATCTCATTAATTGTAGTAAAAGAATGTTACTATATAATTTATAATCATACCATACTGATAGATGTGATTATTTAATAATATAGATTCAGCAAGATCTGTTATTTAGCATTTATTTGGCCTGTCTATACGTTTATTCCTAATTACTAAGAGGCAATTTACCTAGGACTATTGTAACAAAAATAGACAGAGAAAAATATTGAGGACTGATATATTTTTCTTAGTACTGTGTATATCTAAGAGTATCAACCATGACAGACAGAATTTAAAATCATATTGTTCATTGAGACAGGCAAGAGCTATTTACTATTTTGGCATTATAGCCATTAGATAAGTATATATTGAGATTTCCCAGAAAGCATAATGCTGTGATAAAACTTTTGCTAGCCATTAAGAATGCTGAAATACACGTTCATTGAGTATGTGCAAAATCTTTTTGGTTTAGCCTCCATACATAAAGTTTTAATTTATTTAAAATTTTGTGAATCAAATTAAAAATAATCCTCAGCAAGATGTGTGTCATCTTTCTGATGTCTGCTTAAAGTGCCCTACACACAGAAGAACCACTTCATGAAGTGAAATTTTGTCAAGTGTCTGAGTATCTGCAAATATGAACCACAGCATTAATGGCATGGTTGGTCTTCACAACAGCTTCTCAATTCATTCATTCCAGCATGGGGCTTCATCACCATCAAATCCAACACAGTTTTACAGCTCATGAAGCTCTTCACCATATATACCAGCTTTATCCTGGATATAGAGCATTTGTTGTTTCTGCTTACCCAACATCCCAAGGGTATTACTGTCTGGGAGACTACAGAGATAAGACAGGTTAAAGGAAGGGATTCACCTCGCATTCATCTTAGCTAGAGGAATTGAACCAATGCAGCATATGGCATTGTTACAAAAGAGGATTCATTAGATTGGCTTATACAGCCAGAGACTAAATTACCTGTAGGCTGGGAATCCAGAAAAATCAATAGTGGATGAGTCCAAGAAGTTGAAAGGTTAAGAACAAGGAGACAGTGGTAATCCCACTTCTAAGGGGAAGCCTTAGAACGACTTGTGGGGAGGACATCCACAGTCTGATTCTGGAATTCACTGTCTCCAGCTGACAGCAACAGCTATATGGGAACTCAACCAGGGAACCTGGAGCCATGTGTGCTTCTCAGTTCCTCTTTTTCCACTTCCATTTACCTGAGTCCCAAGCTTACTGATCAGAGACACCCACATTCAGGGTGAGTCTTTCCCTTCAACTCACATGCCAAACCCTGATCTACAAGTCATCTTTTAATCCACTTGAGTTGGCAATTATCACCGCCTCCCTCTTCTGAAATCAAAGTAGAGCAGACATTTTGTCTGTCTTGGTGGTTGACTTATCCTCTCATGGTTGAGGCTCAGCCAATAACCAACCACTCTGCTGGGTGTATTCACACCAGCAGACGCTTGAGCAAGTCAAAGTGGCTGAGCAGAGTTTGGAATTCATTCCCCCAGAGGCAATTTGTGGGTAGATTCTATTGCTGGACAAAGAAACCAGCAATCACAGGGTGTGTGGTACATGCCTACAGTCCCAGCACCTTGGAAATGGAAGCAGGACAATCAGAAGTTTGAGACTAGTCTTAACTATAGTGAGTAGAGCCCAGCCTCAAACCCTGTCTTTAAAAATAAAAGTCACCACTGTGTCCTGGCTTGACTCCTAACTCCTTTGTTTTTACTTATTTTCCAGATGTTTTGAACTCCCTGTCAAATAGCCATCCCACATCTTTTTAACTGTCTCACACTCATCACATTTTAATTTAAGTGGTATAAGTTTTGGTTGTTTACAAGCCGTAACACAAGTGACCACAGCAATTACAGCTGTTCCCTGTCTACACAAAAAGGAATTGAGCCTTATTGAGGTTAAGTAATTTGCTTCAATTACAATTATCCAGAAAGACTCATCTAGACACTATCTATGTCTTTGACTTTAAGAGCTGTTTCTTCACAGCAGGCTGCTCTCCTAGACGATCTCAGTAACCTCTTCAGATAGGCAACCCTACTCCATTTCTCTTCTGTCTCCTTATGGGACTTAGTCCCATTTTCCATTCCAGTGCTTTGCCTACTTGATGGCAACTGTGGACTTCCATACCAGATTACTAAGCATTTTGTAAGATAAAGATCTTATTGCAACCATCACAGTTTCTCAAACATGCATTGGAATGCTAGGTGCACAGTCAGTCCCAATAAAGGCCTTAATAACAGAGTATGGGAGTTAACTAATTACTTAGTTAACTAAACACACCAACACAGGTGTGAAATTGAAGCTAAAATCTGAAAACGATTTCTCAAAGTAACACATTATTCACCAATCACATTTTGAACATTTTAAATAAAATGATTTGCCTTGAGCATGCAAAGGCAAAAAAACACAATTGCATTATTTAACAGACATTTAATGCTTGCCTGTATATATGGCAGCCTCTTGTTATAGAGACAAATATGATTTTGAGGGAATAAAACTGGGTATGGATATGATTCAAACACATTATGTGCATGTATAAATGTTAAATGATACAATACATTAAAGTATAAAACATGAATGCTTCAAACAAGCAAATGAAGTAAGGATCCCTGTCTTTCTAAATGAACTCTCCCAGAGCTGGGCAGGGGAGGGGGATTAACCCACAGATCAGATACAATAGCTATCAGAAAAGGGCAATGCTAATCTAAAGAATGATAAAAGGAGCAGTTCACTGCCCACAGCGCCAGGAGCCACAGACCTAGCATGGAGGTACAGCTCTGTGCAGACAACCAGTCAGAGCCCGGCTCGAGGGAGAGGAAGACTAAGAATACTTTGAGTTTCTAAAATGATGCAAGATTTGAAAATAAAAATAAAACAAAAGATTACCTTTACTTCTTAGGATTAACATTCTTTTTTGAAGGCTTAAATAGATTTGAAGGCTTAGTGTTAAGTTGGCTTAAGTAGATTTGAAATGAACTGTTTGACATCTGAAAGTGATGCACACAGCTGCTTTGAAAGCTCAGTACATTAAAGTACTCAAAGACAGTAACACAGGTTTTTATCTTGTGCCTTAAGGCACAGTAAAATAGAAATAAAGATATATAATATGTGCTTATAAAACCATATATGGCAACGTGTTAACTAATGGATAAATATACAACAAATTGATATAATTTCCATTCTTTAAAACCTACACTCATTTAGGAAAAACATTTAACTCTAGAATGTCTGGGTATCTTTTGCAGACAACTACTACGGTACCCCGAAGCCTCCAGCTGAACCAGCACCATTATTATTAAATGTAACAGACCAGATACTTCCGGGAGCTACTCCAAGTGCGGAAGGGAAACGGAAGAGAAATAAATCAGTGAGCAACATGGAGAAAGCAAGTATAGAGCCTCCAGAGGAGGAGGAGGAAGAAAGGCCTGTGGTCAATGGGAACGGTGTAGTCATAACTCCAGGTCAGTCTTTCCATTCTCTGTTAACTTACCAGTTTTTGTTCCATGCACTCATGTAAGGGGTGAAATTGTGTGTGCTTGCCTGTATGGAAATCCTAGGCCAATCCTGATCATTTCCTTTATTGCTCCTCACCTTACTTTTTTAGTCGAGGTCTGTCACTTAGACATCACTGATTTGGCTGTCCTAGTTGGTCAGAGAGCCCCGCCAGATCCTCTTGTCTGTTTCCCCAAGTGTTGGGTTGAAGCGTGCCACCATACTCAGCTTCTACTAGGTTGCTGGGGATCCCAGGTCAATCTGCTTCTATAGCAACAGTTTACTTACTCAGACATCTCCCTGGGCCCCGTTCAGGCCTGAATATGTAGGTGTGTGCACGTCTATCCAGGCACACATGAACAATTACCTTTAGAAAGAAAAGATTGTGATATCAAATAGCAAAGACATGACTCTTTGCTGCTGTTTTTTTTTTGTTGTTGTTGTTGTTGTTTTTGTGTGTGTGTGTGTGTGAGGTGCAAGGAGTATAGCACAAGGCCTCATGCATGCTAGGCAAGGACCCCACCACTAAGCTACATTCCCAGCCCTTAGAATATAATGCCTGTATCCAAATTATTAGTTCTAATTTTGGAGTCTTCATTCAAAATCCTAAATATGGAAAGAGAAAAATAGTTCATTTTGGTAAAGCTTCTAAGCATCGAAATTAGGTTTATTGTTTGTAGACATAGGGAATATAGTTTTAAGAGTGGGACTAGTTTTTGTACATAGACACATCCTTTGCCTGGCTTTACTCATCTCCTATGTTCTTTTAGCACAATCAAGTTGATAATAAAAATCATCATTGGTACATGTATCTTTAAATATTTCATATTATTGATCTTTGTGTTTTGGGCAGTTACAACAACCATCTAGAGCCTATCAAATCTGCACTGTCTTGACTATAATTTTCATTATGGTTTTATATTACTCAATGTCTTTAACAACATATTTTTCCAACTTTTAATCTATAGTGTTATTGTTTCTTTGGGGTTTTTGTTTGTTTATTTGTTTGGTATGTTTATTTATTTTGTTTTTGAGAAAGGTTTGTCACTACATGCTCCAGGCTGGTCTGCATGTCTCTCTGAGTACCAGGAGAGCCTCAAATCACAAGCCACTCTCCTCACCTGCCTAGTGCTGGGATTTTGGACATGGGCCTCTTTGCCTGAACTCTTCTAGTCTTTTTATAACATAAACAGAAGTACATAAAAGTCTACTTTCTAGAAAAATACATATTTTTACAGACAAAAGCATCTATTCCCCCAAACTTTAAAAATATCAAAACAGACAGTTAATAGATAAGTAGCTATAATCCAAAGATTGGATTCTTCAGCAAAGTCAAGTCCTGAAAACTTAGTAGCTGGATCCCTTGACTTCTTTTCTTACACAAGTTATCTGCTAAAGTTTTCCGGAAAGTGACTCACTATTGTCTGCTGGCTTCCTCTCAGCAGCTATGAGTAAGTCCAGTGCAAAGAATTAGAAATGCACATATATTTTAAAGGCTCTCTGTTAATACATACACACAATGCCTGGAGAAGCGGCCCATGAGAGCTCCCCAACAAAGGGAATACAGTATGTGGGCACAGAGCTGCCTTCTCCAGGCTCCCAAGCCCGCAATTACTGCAGATGAACTGCATCTCCCAGAGAGCAAACAGAGTGTCCCTTATGTGATCTCTGAGTGTCCTCAGCAATGATCTCAGTTCACCGTTGGGGACCTGCACCCCAGTGCTGAGCTGCTTGGCAAGCTGGCCGTGCATGCACCATCAGTCCTGGTGCTCTGAATGAGACCCTGTCACTCTCTGAAGAATAATGTCCTCCGTAGTGAATCTCGCTGTTTTCCTGCGAATAATGCCCCACTCTGAAACTGCCACAGTGCCTGTCCCCTGCTTATTTTTATGTGAGTTCACAGAGGCTGCAGTTTGTGTATGCACTCAGATCTTTCTCTGTGTTTTTTTCCTTTTGTTTTTGTTTCCTGATGTGACTTAATTTTATGGTTTAGTCCCAAGTGCTATACTTGGTTTTCTCTCCCTGTTATCGTTGGAGGGGGAAGGGCAGAGGAAATGGGTAAAATTCTAGGACTATTTCAAACTAATTCTCCAAAGTCTAACATTCTATGTAGAAAGGACAGTCCATCCAAAAGTATTGTGTGGAAACTCAAACCAGCCTAACATAGAGTGCTGGTGTGTCCAGATGTGATGGCAAATCAACAAGCGAGCCACTTAAAGAGTTGGTTCTGAAGCACACTGTGACTGCACACACACTGTAAGCATGTGAAATTGTGACAGCCTTCAGACCCATCCTTTTAAACCCAAGCAGACTCACTTTTCAATCAATGTGAAAGCAGGGACTTTGAGAGACCTCTTCTGCCCTCACAGGGATTCGGCATTTTCAGGAGCCATACTCAGCTTCTGTGCAGGACTTTTAGAAGGCTGATGCAATCTGTACATGAAAGACATTTGTTACATGAATGGAGAATGCAGGACAAGAGCCAGCAGAAAAACACCACGTTTGCTTAGAGTCTAAACTGCTCACAAACCACAGGCATCTTCTTCCTTCACACGGGTGTTTGCCTATCTGCCTGTGTTTCTTGTGCCCTACTGACACTTGCGTGACTCCCACCTACTTTGTCATCAGTGGTGGCTCTGCACACTGTCTGACCTCTCAAAAGAGGAAGGTCTCTGGATGAGGCCTGCCTAAGCACCAGCCCCAGGGCTGGAGCCTGTATTTGGCCTTTTCCTTACTTTTTTTTTCTCTTGATCTCATAAAAAAAAAGAAAATACCTGGATTCCATCATGACCTTATAGAGCAACCCTCAATTATCAAAGTGGAGACTGAATATAGAGCCTCCTCTTTGTCTTCCAGCCCTTTGAAACTGCAGAGACTGTGGTTACATTTCAAATAACACTATTCTGATCCCCCCCACTATGATTTTAAAGGCAAGCTCTAAGACGTGTTACAAATCTTATGTTTCATTTAATATCTTACTTTGGTTCTTGGATGCTTCCAATGTGTGTATTAACTTTTATCCCCACAAAGTTTGTTGAGGATTCAGGGGACTTGTTCCTGGCTGATAAATGTCTTTAGAATTCATGGCATTATAAAAATCACAAAGCACACACAATGTCACAGCCATGAGGGCTATTACTCCTTTTATCCCATTCTACCTTCATTAACGTGTTAAAAATGAAAGACTGTAGAAGGAATACACTTATTAATTAAGGCAGCTCTCCTCCTCTGCTAACGGAACATAATTTCCTCTACTAATATTCTCTAGTGATTCTTTTCCATTTAGTTTTATGTATTCCGGGAGATATTTTTCCTTGTCATTCTCCATTCACAAACTTTGAGTGTTCTATTTTCATAATTTCTGCACTATTCTAGTATGGTGTACAACTGGATTTTAGATAAAGATGCAATATACTTGTTAAGCATTTAGTCTACTGTTTTAGTAATTCACATTTCCCTGACTGGCCTCTTAAGTAGATGAAACACAATTTGCTTTTAAATTATAAATCATTTCTTTACAGAAGAATTGTGAATTCATGCTTCCTCAATTGACATAGCATCTAAATAATATCAGAAACACACTAAACCATGACATTAAGTTACTCTAATTCTAGCATGCTATTGTATTTTCATCATGGCCTCAAATAATGAAGGGAAATATCTGTCAGCAGCTCAAAAGTATTGATTTTTCTATCCACTTAAGGTACACACACCCTCACATATACACACAGATACACACATACCAGCATGCATGTGTGCAGACACATACCCCACAGTGGTTAAGGATAAGTACTCTAGTATCTCATATTTTGAAGAATTTGAAATACTTCTTTCTGGGATCATAACTCCTTCTGAATCATTGAAACATCAAAACCCATTAAATATTAGAATTCAATATGCATGGGAAAGTTCCTGAAGGATCAGAAACAATAACCACCTTCACTGACTGGATCTCTGCAGCACCGCGAGCAGCCATGAGGAAACTGTTTCCTGGGTTTCTTCCTTGTAGTTTAGGGTTCTGTATGTCATGAATGTTTTCCCATATCAAAAGAGCAATTTTGTTACAGTGAGCAAGTAAATATTCATAATCCGTACAGTCTACAGGCATTGTAGCACCCATAATTCTTCAGATTTTAGGAGTTTTGGAGGAAATTGAACAATAACCTGCAATCTTAATCTTTTGGTCAATTGGTTACACAGAAAGCAAGAGAACTCTACATGACTACTTTGTATCTGAATAGTTTCCTCCATATTTCTCTCCATATGACTATGGTAAAAGATAGTTACATACACGTATAAGCAATAAGTTATATTATAAAAGAGGTACATACTCAATAATTATATGTACTTATTAGAAACCAATTACAGTAATAGCTGCTTCTTGCTCACCTATCAACCGTGTTGTGTTCATTCGTGTGCAGGAGTGTAGGGTTCCAGATCTAATTGTGTATTTCAGCATCTAGGATGGATATAGGAGAGTGTGGTTCCAGTTCTAATTGAGTCCACTCACCATAACACAAAATAAAACCTTGGATGGATATAATGAACATATTTTCTAATGGGATTGTTAGATTTTCAAAGAACTAGAGATGTCTTCAAAATCCACCATGTCCACCACCATAGCCAATTCCATCAAGGACCAGAGACCATGGTGGGAGAAGCTACTTTCAGGGAAACTAGTAGCAAATGAGGTCCCAGTAGTGACCAGGAGAGCAAGCCTTTGCTAAGATAAGATCTGGGGACCTGTGCCTCTAATTCTATTTATTGTCTAAATCCTCAAAAGTGCTAATATGACAACAAGTTCATAGCTCAGCAGCTGCCTCTGGAGCCCAAGGCCAATAGATAGCCACCTTAGGGAAAACGTGTAGTTCCTTGGGACTAATTTTTCTCCTTTAATTAACTCTGTTGCCCATATCAACTGGACAGGACAATGGGAGGGCTCAACTTGTAAAAATACATTTTTTGTTAC